TATGGGGGGTGAGAGGGGACACTGGGGGGTGAGAGGGGATGGGGGGACCGGGGGGAAGCGGGGGGATATGGGGGGTGAGAGGGGACACTGGGGGGTGAGAGGGGATGGGGAGGAACGAAGGGACGGGGGGAACACGGGGAGTGAGAGGGCATGGGGGGAATCCCCCCTTTCCCAGAGCCACGGGGGGAGTTCCCTGCCCATTCCCTGCTCATTCCCTGCCCTTTCCCTGCCCATTGCCTGCTCCAGCTCCGTTCCCGGACGATGCGCCCCTGGTCCAGCAACTGAAGTTGGACACACGGACAGCAGAGGGGACACGAGGGGACACACATGGCGACGGCCGGCAGGGGTGAGTCCGGGCCCTGTGTCCCCTCCCGGGATCCCTGCCCGGATCCAGGGCCAGGCTCGTGCTTTGCTGTCCCTTCCCCAGGCTCCCCCCGTCCGTGGCCTTCCCGGAGTTTCCCTCTGCCCCATAATCCTGCTGGGGGGTCCCTCTTCCATATCCAGGAGTTCAAGAGCTGCCTGGAGCTTTTGGGGTCCCCTCTGCCCTGCTGGGGGGTCCCTCTGTCCCTATCCAGGGATTCAGGGGCTGCCTGGAACTTTTGGGGTCCCCTCTGCCCATAATCCTGCTGGGAGGTCCTTTGGCCCTGCCAGGGGGTTCCATTGTCCATATGCAGGGATGTGAGGGGCTGCCTGGAGCTTTTGGGGTCCCCTGGCCCTGTCCGTGCCAGGGGGTCCCTCTGCCCGTATCCAGGGATTCAGGTTTCCCTGGAACAGCCCACGGAGGGGATGAGCAGGTCGGTGGCCGTGGGGGACCAGGGGGACATTCCTGCTGTCCAGGGGGTCCCTGCTCCCTGCTCCAGTGACAGGCACAGCCCTGGCACCCCCCGCTCCCGGGGTGCTCCTGGATCCCAGTGCCTCCCAAAGGGCTCTGGCAGTGCCAGACTGGGGGGTCTGGAGGGGTCCCCCAAAGGCCCTTGGTGACACAAAGCCCGAGGGGGCTCTTAGTGCCATTCCCAGGTGGGATTTGGCTCCTCTGTGCTCCCAACGCCCCGGGGGGAGCAGGGCTGGGGCAGGGCTGGGGCAGCTCCATCCCGAGGGCTTCGCTCCCTCCACAGCCTCCTCCGGATTCCCGGCAGGATGAGGCTGGAGAGCAACAGGAGCTGCAGGAGCAACAGGAGAGGGGCTGGGGGGGTGTCCCTGAGCCCCTGGGGACACCTGGGTGTCCTCCCTTCAGGGGACACTGTGAGTCCGAGGGTCCGACAGGTCCCGGGGACCCTCCTGCCGTGGGCATGGGGGGAAATGCCAGATCCAGGGGATTTCCTGCCTGGCACCCCTGGCCTGGGACCCCTCCAGTGCTACTGTCACCCCCCCAGGCTCTTCCAGGGCTGTCCCCACCTACCAGGTCCCCACTGTCCCCTCTGGAGCCAGGACAGGGCTGTGGCAGGGGCAGCCACTGGAGGTCAACAGGATGGGACACTGGGATGGGACACTGGGATGTCCCCGGTGCCAGCTCCATCCTCCTGCAGCTCCATCCTCCTGCAGCCTCCCCGTGCCCGGGGGGCTCCCTGGCTGTGCCAGCCCGGAATGGGGTGGCCATGCCCCTGTGGCCCCCCGGGTGCTGTTCCCAGGTGTCCCCCGTGTGACAAAGCCTCCTTTGGGATTATCCCTGCCTCGAGCCGGGGCTCGGCACCGGCACTCCGGGAGCTCTCCCATCCCCGCCGTGGGATGGGGACGTGGGACCCGCCGGGATCCTTGGGATGGCGGTGCCCGGGCGGGGTCAGTGGGGCGGGGGTGGCCGTGCCCTGTCACGGGGGGTCCCCCGCGCGTCCCCGTGTGTGGCCGCGTCCCTCGCGTGTCCCTCGCTGTCCCTGCGTGCGGAGGGGATGGAGGGGATTTCGGCCGCGCTGTTCCGGCTGAACAATGCCGGGTCATTAAATCCCGGGATTCCCGGCGCTTCCAGCACAAAGAGCCTTTTCTTCAGGCAAGGAGGCGACAATCTGCTGCCGGCGCTGCCAGATGGAGGCAGCGGGGCCGGGGGCTCGGGGGGAGGAGGAGGAGGAGGAGGAGGAGGAGGAGGAAGAGAGGCTGCTTTTCCTGGGAAGCTCCCACAGAGCCTGATGGAACCGAGCACGTGCAAATCCCCGCGGGGGTTGTGCCCGGGGGTCCTGTGTCACCTCCCAGGGCCCGGGGGTCCTGTGTCACCTCCCAGGGCCCGGGGGT